AATCAGTGAAGAATACATTTGTAAGCCTGAAGAATATAATTGTCTGTTGACACCCAAAACATACAATACGCCTCATTTTTATGTTTAGTGTAGACACTATTTTTTGTGCTTCTGGACCAAGTGGTTAAAGAGTAATGACCATCATATATTGTGTAAAGGTCAATGACCCTTGACCTTGAATATTTAGTCAATGCAGCAGAAGGTGGCAAAAATACTTTTAAAAAATTATCCCAAAAACGTAGATGTTGCCACTATTTTTGTCCATGTAGGCAAACTGGTTGAGGAGTTATGACCATCATAGCTGCATAAAGGTCAATAACCTTTGACCCTAAATATTTAGTCAACGCAGCTACTAGAAGGCCGTATAAATGTTTCAATAAATGTTGACCCCACAAAATCTAAGTGTAGACACAATTTTCGTGAATTGATATCCAGTAGTTGAGGATTTATGAACCGGAACATGCTATTTAAAGGCTATTCTGACCTTTGACCCTGAATATTTGGTCAGCGCAGCTACTAAAAGGTGTAAAAAATTTCCCATAATTGTTGCCCCAAAAAACCTGGGTGTAGACACTACTTTTGTACTTTTAGAGCAAGTAGTTGAAGAGTTATGACATATAACATGCTGCATATAGGTAATTGACCTTTGACCCTGAATATATTATAAACGCTTCTATAAAAAAGTGGCAAAAAATTTTTTATGACTTTTCAAATATAGGCCTACAAGAATATGCAAATAGTTCTTTTATTAGAGTTTGTTTAAGGTTAAATAGGATTTTTGTAACATTTAGCCTGTACTATATGCCTTTCCGGAGTGTCATTCAAATTTAACAACTGATCAATTAGAACAGAGCCAGAATACGCGCGCGTCTACAATCACACGTGTATGTCCCACGGGCGCACGTGTTTGTGTGTGTTTTAACGTTTTCGTTTTGTGACAACATAGCAATAATATCTAAGGGGCGGGGCTTAACGAAAATGTCCATTCTAATAATTGCAACATATTTTATAATAAAATTGCCTTCCTGAAAGACAATATTTGGTTATAGTTACTCTATGTAGTTTAGTGCATGGTATAGGCCTACCTATCCTTTCCTTTATTGACGTTTATCAAAACGTAATGAATTGGTCAAATTGTACAAAAAAAAGATATGTAAATAGAGTATAGATAGCGATTAAACAACCAGTGTACACTAGTCACACCTTATTGTGCCCCTTTGAGAAGGTTGATCTTATGAATAGCAATAATTTATATTGTTTGTATTTCAGTGGTAGCTTTAATGTTCAGCTCGTCTAATACGCCTATTCAGGCATTGCTTTTATGAGAGTATTCTTTAAAGGCACATACTGTAGGATGGAAACAATGCAAATTGAATATTCACAAGGAGAAAACGTATAAAGGTTGTAATTCGAGGTAGGCCCATTAAAACAAGAAAATACAGAATCTGACTGCAGGTTTTAAAAAGTGGACGTGCGATAAAACACTGAACTGAAACTGAATACGTAAGTAGGCATAACAATGTATTTACCATGTGACCTTTTGGCTTAAGTCCTCCAAAGTCTCATGATAATGGTTGTTATTTTGAAGTTGGTAATGTATAGTGTTTCAGCTTTTTATGAGTTCAACTCATACTTATTCTTGGTTCTACCAACCGAACCCTGTTCGAGGAACGGTTGTTAAGGTTGTACGTAAGCGGTCCCTGTCGAAGGAAATACCGAATCTGATTGCAGGTTTTAAAAAGTGGCCGTGCGATAAAACAAACTGAATACGTAAGTAGGCATTGCTTGGAGAGCCACTCAGACAGTAATTTATTTTACTTTTTGGTAATGCTGCCGGCTCTTGGGGGAAACATGGATTACCTTTTCGAATTTTCTGAATATTTTACTGTATTGTTATGATAAAAAAAAAAAGGCGAAATAAATGAAATGAAATGAAAAATGAAAATGTATTTACCATGTGACCTTTTGGTTTATGTCTTCCAAAGTCTCATGATAATGGTTGTTATTTTAAAGTTTGTAATGTATATTTTGATTCAGCTTTCCATGAGTTCAACTCGTATTTAAAGCTAAATCCTTTTCTTAAGCATTTATTTTACTAACAAAGATTATTTCTGAATTAGTCATATTAATTAGCATTATCGCCAAAAAAAAAAACGTGAGCTATACCCTTTGTGTGTGTGTGTTTTTTTTTTTTTAATTTGACTTTGTTGAATCCTAAACGATGGCGTGCATCATACTTTCTTATCTGAGATTAATCAGTAGGTTTTTCGGTATTTTTCACCTAGGCCTATTAGTTTCATAGGCGAGTCGACGTGGCCGAGCAGTACGACAGGGGCACCGCTTACGTACAACCTTAACAACCGCTCCTCGAACAGGGTTCGGTTGGTAGAACCAAAGATAGGGACTATAAATAGAGATACCTTACTTTTAAATAGATATATCTCTATTTGAATTAGAGATATATTCAGATTGAAATAGAGATTTCTTAGTTTTAAATAGATATCTATTAATAGAAATATCTCTATTAACAGACATATCTCTATTTAAAACTAATGTATCTCTAATTAAAACTAAGATATCAATATTTAAATCTAATATATCTCTAATTAAAACTAAGAAAGCTCTAATAATAAAGATATATATATATATAGACAAATAAATTATATATATATATATATTTATTTATTTATATATACATAGGCCTAAGAGAGATATCTTAGTTTTAAATATATCTCTATTAACAGAGATATCTTAGTTTTGTTTTCGATGAGGATCATTGTGGGTAGGGTGTTCTGACTATCGACAACTGAGATATAGCAAATACAATACGTTTATATGTGGAGTATATAAATCGACCTTCATTCATGCATGTATTCAAGGCGGAAGAGGCACTAATAACACCTCCCTGATAACACTGCAGATATTGATTGAAAGGGAAAATAATATCTCCCGTCGTTATTATTTTTATGTTTGTGTCATACCATAAAATGCATTGGGAGTACACATTGCAATATTAATTGTTCGGTATCTCTTACTCATTCACATCCAAAATTTAAATAAAAAATAGCAGCACAGGCTGAATAACAATTTCAGTGTACGGTGCAACTTAGGCAAATCAATACATGAATGGGTATAATTATACAATTCAATAAATGACGAATTAAGTTAGCTATAATGTACAAATTGAATTAAAAAAAACATTAACATTATTTAAGCTTAGGTTAGTTAAAGGCATTTGCAAAAATGGATACCTTTTTCGTGATTCATGTTCTCTGCGTGATCTATATGCGTGGCGTTACAAAACGCAAAGCAACAATACATTTCTGTAGGACTAATAGTAATGCTGCGAATAAAATGTAGACATGGTTAAGAGTCACACATGAAGGATTCTCGATAACTTAATGCCTTTAACAAAAACAGAAAAGGCTTTACCATTGTTGTAAAATTTGTTGTTCGGAGGCGTTGACAAGATTAGTAATAGGACTACCGTAATAAGGCCTTTGAAATAGCGCAGCACAGGCTGAATAACAATTTCAGTGTACGGTGCAACTTAGGCAAATCAATACATGAATGGGTATAATTATACAATTCAATAAATGACGAATTAAGTTAGCTATAATGTACAAATTGAATTAAAAAAAACATTAACATTATTTAAGCTTAGGTTAGTTAAAGGCATTTGCAAAAATGGATACCTTTTTCGTGATTCATGTTCTCTGCGTGATCTATATGCGTGGCGTTACAAAACGCAAAGCAACAATACATTTCTGTAGGACTAATAGTAATGCTGCGAATAAAATGTAGACATGGTTAAGAGTCACACATGAAGGATTCTCGATAACTTAATGCCTTTAACAAAAACAGAAAAGGCTTTACCATTGTTGTAAAATTTGTTGTTCGGAGGCGTTGACAAGATTAGTAATAGGACTACCGTAATAAGGCCTTTGAAGAATTCCATTCGATAAGGCAGAATCTGAGTAGGTTACCATTCTCTACCTATTCAAACAGAGGTGTACGGTAAGAATGGCCCCGGAAAAAGTGGCCGAGGAAAAGATGGCCCCGGAAAAAACGGCCCCGGTAAAAACGGCCCCGGTAAAAATGGCCCCAAATGACAGGTAGGTAAAAATGGCCCCAATAATAAAATTCTGTATTAAAACTGATTTAAAAAAAATCATTATATGCATTTTTTAAACTGAAATAATATAGTTTTTAAAAGGAATCTAACATCAACTAAATTGCCATTACCATTTTACTTTTTGCAGAAATTAAATATTCAATGATAAAATATTCAAAGATAAAAAAAAGCCATGAATAACACTTTTTATTTTTTTTTCCATTTAAATGTTAAAAAATAGCAACAACGTAATCAATAAATCAACATAAATCATGCATTTATAATACTAAAATAATTTATTTGTGGCCAATTTCAAGGAAGCGGAATCACAATTTTCCAGAAATTCAATCCGGGTATTGGTAAACCCCACAAACAATGAGTTTATATGAACATCAAATTATTATTTTTTTTTTTTTAGAAAAGAGAGTTCTACAATCGTAATTAAAGGGTTTAGATGGGGTTCGCAGTGTGTTTGGAGGATTGTGGTGTATTTGCCAGTATTTTTTCACAAAATATCAACATTTTAACCCAAAAATAGGTATTGATATACCAAGTGAGTCAATCACAATTGAATTGTTTGGTTTTCTACAGTGTGTTTTGGAGGTTTTTGGGATTTAGCAATACCATTTGATCCTACCATAATTACTTTACCCTCACAATTACACGCCATTTTAATTCTTAGCATAATTACCATATTTACATAACTATGTATATAATATAATATCTCAGTTTACATTATTTAGTATAGTTTTAGGCACTTAAATTTACTTGGTAGGGAGTAGAAACAAGTAGAAAAAAGTAAGCAATTGAATAAGTTGCTTAAATAAATGTATTCCTTATTCAGCTTACTTTAAAAATAATGTTTGAGTAACAAATACTTCTTTGAAGTATTTTGAAGTAAGCAGACCATTTGTTAAGTAAAGTAAGCCTCCCTTTTCCCATACATGAACTTGTCATTCAAACACACAATTGATCCACATGCCTTAACTACTGTTTATTTGCACTGTTTATAACATGTAAAGTTATTTCATTTGATACTAAAGTAAATTTTGTGGTTATCTATGAGTTGCATATTTTGGTAGTTGAAGTACTGTATGTATGTCATTCCTCTAATTTTTTAGTGGAATAACGTTTTTAAAACTTATTTCAACTATCAAAAAATGTTCAATGGCCGTTGTTTTCTGATAATCTCTCAGTACATTATTTGCATCTGTTGTGTAACTGTATTTGTTATTGATTCAATTCTTGCTTATTACAGTATTTCAATATTTAAAGATTTTTTCATTGGGGCTATTTTTACCTACTTGTCATTTGGGGCCATTTTCCCGGGGCCATTTTTTCCTGGGCCATTTTTTCCGGGGCCATTCTTACCTACATTCAGTATTCTCAAACAGACGGTAAGAAAAATCAGTTTCTGGTTACCATGATTACTGTTATTATATTATGCCAATACTGGGCTTCTCAACATAAAAAAAAATCCTAGGCCTGGTATTCAGTCTAATTTTCCAGGTCATTTGGAGCAGGGTACTTAAGCCCTCCTGCCGAACAGACCAAGGGCCAATAGCGTAGGTATGGAAAACGAAAGGGGGGAGAGTCCCCAACCAAGACTAACGGTTATAATAAGAATATTACGATATTTTTTTTGTATTAATTAAAGTAAAGAGGTACATAATATGTTGTCTCACCTCTGATTGTCATAGCCTATAACGTAAAACTTCTAATAATAGGCCTATCATTGGGTTACATATTCTTTAATAGTTTTTTTTTTTTTCGGGTGGGTTACTATAAGAGTAGGCCTACGTTATTGGTTACTATATTAGAGTAGTAGTAGTAGTTTGCTATTACTATGCTTAATGTAGGCACTTGAAAATGTAAACCCCCAGCATTTTGCCTCAGCAATTTATAGAAATAAATAAAACGAATAACTTTTACGACCTGCTCAACATCTACTTCTCTAAACATAAACTATGGCGGAAGCTAGTGTAGATGATGTGGTGTATAAAACTACATTTCAACTAACATTAGGGGGCAGCATGTGTACACAATGTCAGGACACCAATCACAGGTGAATGGCTACAATTTTTTTTAAGATGATAAAGCTGAAGTTTGTATGACAAGAATTTCGTCGGTGTTTACAAAGCAAACCAGGACGAGGCATTGTTAGTTGGACATGTCCCAACTGAATTATCAAGAATTCTTGCTGAATTTCAAAAAACAGTCAGATACTTTTATAAAGGTGGAAGTATGGGGAAAAGATTCCAGGAACATGGACTTGTGGTTCCTGGTCGTTTAGTAGCTATCTCTGAAGGAAAGTCGGAAAAATTTTGGTCTATATAAATTTTACACTACGAAGCTAAGTAACAGTAGTGTACATACACGTCCAAGTGTAAACTACAAAGAATAACAACTTCTGTAAGCATGACGTAATCTCATGCAGTGTTTGGTTCAATCTTGAATCGAAAAGATCAATGTCTGGTCACTAAACAATGTGTACAATCTTGCAAATATATTTTTATCCAACATCCACCCCAGCGTATCATTAAATTTTCTTGACTTGGCATCAGCCACTTGACTCTTTACCCTGGCAACTGTTGGGCTGCGATCAAGATTCTTTTGGAAATGCACCAACCCCAGATTTGTTTGGCTAAATTATAAATTGAAAACCATAACCATTAACCATTACAGGTTAATGATTTGTCAGGCATGTGGTTGATATTTGCTACTGCGGTAGTGTTATCAATTTTCAAAACATGAATATTTGAAAATGTTGAGCAAAAAATGATTGTAGTGCAAAAAGGCAGCCAAAAGTAACTTATTCCATTTTAGCGAGATATAAAAGTTGTTCTATTAGCATTCCACTTATGTTTGTTATGCCATTCGATGCACCCCAACCTTAACCATATGCGTCACCAGTAATGATAGTCATAGTTGGTTTTTATCTGCTGGTGTTACTTTCCATGTTTGGTATGTTTTTTCAACCACCATTTCAATTCAAATATTGCACCATGTGAATGGGGTGTATTACAAACCCAAGATTAGATAATAAATGTATTGTTACATTCACAGCTTCAATGGCTTCTTTTTTAGTGGGTGCAATACTTAACGTGTTATCTATATATTACATAATTGTATGATCATTGCTTTTTAAAATACCAAATGCTGGTTTCAATAATTTTGTAAATATGTGTGGCCCAGAGATTAATCAGTCTGGTAAAGCTTTGTACTGCCACAATGCGCCTAGCCACTCAAATTTTAAATATTATCTATGATTTACATCAATTGGCACAGTGTAGAAGCCATGTAGGCCTAACTCTTTTGTTTTTAATTGCTTAGCAATTCCAAAGTGTCCATATAAAAATGATGATATGCAAAGTATTCATCGACATTAGATAGGTCCAGAATCATTCTGTAGCCACCATAATTTTTCTCTCTTGTGAACACGTTAGAAATAAATTCAAGATTATTCGTTATCTCAATCACCTTTTTAAACGCTACGGTAGCCTCTGTATCTCCTCGGTTATAATATTTATTTCATGTGGCTGTAATTTTAAGGGTGAGGTGCATATCTTTACAATGGTGTTGTTGAATTTATAAATTCAAGTTTATACCCTGAAACAATTTTTAAAATATTTTTATCTGATGTAAGAGACTTCCACATATTAAAGTATGACGTCAATCGACTTCCAATACACTCCAAATCAGTGGTAGTCATGGCGGACAGATAACATTTTGAAATATCTTACAGATTTACCTCGCACACTTGATGTGTTGGAAGGTTTTTCTTTTGCTGCTGCTTCATTTGTTCATTGAAGGTGCTGTACGGGGTTTCGCCTTTCGCCAAAAACATGCTGACTGGTTTTTCCACTTTGTCGTGACAGCAAACCAAACTCATTCGGTTTCTTGAGTAAAAATGTCTTTGTGTAATATTATGATATGGTTTGTATCTGACACTGCCAGAGCGGCTTCTCATTAGTCGTGCTGTTTTCTGTTCCTCACCCACTTTCTTAACAAAAAGCAAGTCATCTCCAAAGAGAAATTTATTATTGGGGCTGATGGTTTGCACAGGCCCATGTAACACTGATTAACATCTGGCTTTATCAAGTTTCTCAACTGGTTTAATTAAAAATTCGCACTGGCAAGTAATGCTGCTGTACCTTTTTGTATTTTGTTTAAAGTTATCTGTATCAACATAGTATTACCTCATAAATGGGGTAATTCCCTTCATCAGAGGCTTTTGTGCTCTTTTGATATTTTTTAGATCTTGGATTTAGATTCTGTCAAGTTATGTGGCTGACTTTAGAAACAACCAACTTGGTAGCATTACTGGGTTGCAAATATTTCTGAATAGATCTTAACAAAATTGAAAGAGGTAAGGATATTGGAAGAAGTTTAATAACAGTTATTAAAAAGAGTTACTCTTTTTGAAAAGATATAGAATACATAAATTTTGTTAAGAAAACTAATAATCAGACTAAAACAATATGCTGCCTCACCCTACAACCCACAAAATTTTGAAAACTTATTAAACAAAGAAATCCAATTTAACATTAATGATCAATTATTTTTTGAAATGCTATTAATGGAAATTAGATCAGCCTCAAGTGCCAATATAAAACGAAAAGCAAACAATGAAGAAAATAAAATTGAAAAAGAAATAGTGGATTATAATATTTTAAAAACGAAAATGGAGAGAATGTCGTAGAAAAAATAAAGGAAAAAGAAAATGATTTAAACGAAATCAGAAAGAAAAAAAATAGAAGGAGTGATGATTAGAGCGAAGGCTCGCTGGTTTCAACAAGGGGAAAAACCTACCAAATACTTCCTCAACATGAAAAAAGGGCAATATACAAAAAATACATTTCGAAAAATTACTATAAATAATGATGATTCCTTATATAATTCTTAAGCAATTCTATAAGAAACTAAGCGATTTTATGAAGGGCTATATTTGAGTAGAAAGCTAAACTTGGAAAATTTATTCGAAAAGGCTAATTCAAATATTCTAACCTTAAAAGATAAGCATCTTATTGATGCACCAATCGCCTATCAGGAACTGTCTAAGAAAAACGAAAAATGGGAAATCCCCTGGTCTTGATGGTATTACAAATGAACTTGATGGTTTTTTACAAATGATTTTTTTAAATTCTTCTTTATGGATATAGGTCATTTCTTCCACAGATCAGTTAAATACTCTTTCTCATTAGGTAAACTTTCGATTACACAACGGCATGGTCTCATTACATTACTCCCTAAAGGGGATAAAGATAGGACTCTCCTAAAAAATTGCCGACTTATATCTCTTTTGAACACATCGTACAAATTGATTTCATCTTGCATTGCTGAACGTTTAAAAAAGTTCTTCCTTATCTAATACACGAACACAAAAAAGGATTTATATCGGAAAGATTTATTTGAGAATATATACGAACAACATTCGATTTAATGAAAGCAGCCGAAAACGACAACATTCCAGGTCTATTCTGGCAATTGATTTTGAGAAAGCCTTTGACTCTGTGTCCCATACCTTTATTAGAAAAGTTCTTAAACAATTTAATTTTACGGAGATTTTTCAGAAATGGGTTAAAATCTTATACGAAGACGCAAAGGCGTCGGTTATAGTTAATGAGTTTATATCAGAGGCTTTTCCTATTAATAGAGGGTGTAGACAAGGGGATGGACTCAGCCCTTATCTGTTTTTGTTATGTGCAGAAGGGGTCTAGGCCCGTTACCACCTGGCCTGTTGCCACCTGGACTTTTGCCATCCGGGCTTTTTCCGCCCGGGCCCGTTGCCACCCGGCCCGTTGCCACCCGGCCTTTTGCCACCCTAGGCCCGTTGCCACCCGGCCTCTGACCAAACGGCCTTTAGCCACCCGGCCTTTTGCCACTCTAGGCCCGTCGCCACCCGGCCTTTTGCCAGCTAGGCCCGTTGCCACCCGGCCTTTTGACACTCGGCCCGTTGCCACCATATGACCTTTGCCACCCGGAACGTTGCCACGCGGTGCGTTACCACCGTAGGCCTGTTGCCACCTGGCCATTGGATTGATTGTTTGGCAGATTGTAAACAATGACAATTAGTTGCGTGTAACCGTCATGAAAGGCACACATGTGAAGTAGTCCTGATTAGCGTTCTATCTTTATTTGTATGTATTCAGACGTACATATGTATGTATATGTTTTCTGATTATGTACTGTACTGTTTTTAGTTAGTGTGTATGTGTATATTTTTTTTTACATTTTTTGTGAAGGTGGAACATCATGAATTAAAATTCTTGTAGTGTTATAAATTTAACAGGTTTTTTTTATTTGATTTAATGGGGGGGGGGAGGGGCTTAAGCACCCACCCGTTCTTGAGAACGAGTAAATTCTGGAATGATATCCTTGACGCATGGTCCACTTTTACTAAGGTTCATAAAATAAAGAACTAGTTTGATGCCCGTATATGGTTTAACGATAATATAAGTATTGATGACAAAAGTATATTCTACAAACAAAACCTGGTCTGAAAAAGGCATGTTTTTAATTTGTATGAAAGTTTTCATTTGTGTTGATCCAGCAAAATAAAAAACAATAGTACTCACACTACGTTGTTTTTTTTTTTATTTTGCTGGATCAACACAAATGAAAAATGTCATACAAATTATATTTGGATCCAAATGAATTTATTTCAAAACATGTTTTTAATTGATGATCTATTAGATTAAACTGGATCATTTTACCCTTTGCATGAATTCATAGAAAAATATCAGATAAATGTTGATTTCATAACTTAATTTTAATCCAACACATGTGGATAAAACTAAGGATATGCCTTTTAATTTAGATGTTATTAAAGATGCGAGAGGGGCTGGTAGAATATACGATATACTATTTGAAAATAAAAGGGTCAATTAAATGTATAAAGAAAAATGGTAAAACAGAATTGAATACTGCCATAAGATGAAGAATGGTCGATAATTAATGCTACACCCTACAATTGTACTGTCGATATACGATTAAGATGGCTGCAATATAGGATAATACATAGGATTTTAGGAAACAAAAAATGTCTGTTTAGAATTGGTAAAGTTCTGAACAAAATGTGTACTTTCTGTAATAAAGCAGTAGTATCAATTTATCATATATATTGTGAGTGTGAATATGTAACATCTTTTATTGAAGATATATGCAAGTCCATTAAGGACCAGTGTAACATTAATATTATTATAGATGATAAAATGCGCCTATTCGGCATTCAAAGTACTAAAGAAAAGGCACTGAATCACATTTTTAAAATTACCTCAGGGTATCACATTTATTGGAGAAAAAGGAACAATGAGGGACCAAATGCAAATCAATTTTAAAAAATACTTAAATCGCATTACATAACGGAAAAATGCATTGCTTGTGTTAATTTAAAAAATAAGATCTTGGGAAACTAAATGGGATAAGTTACATTTTTTGTTCAAGTAATTTGTCTTTTATAATACATTTTATTTTTTTATTTTATTTAAATTTAAAGAAGTAGTTTATACTACGATATTTATCAGTGCAATAAGATAGCAAAACTGAAGGCTGATTGGTAAGAACCAGCAAAATTTTGCCCAGACTTTGCCGATTTCTTTCTCAAAATGTTCTTATTTTGTTCTAATTTTTACACACCTTTCAAACATACACAATTATTATTTTTTTTGCAGCAGCATATACTGTATTATAGGGTATGGCCATGAAGCTTATTCCTCCATGGTATTATATAGTCAATTTATTCCTCCGTGGTCAAACCTACTGCAAATAATACATAATTCTCAATAGTGTTAATCTTTGTCTACACTTTCAAATTTCATCACAAAAGCATCACATAAAACTTGATGCAACATAGAGTTGATCAAGTTCAACTTTTTTTATACAATTTGATGATATGTGATATGACGTCACCGTGCCCATATATGGGCAAATCACATTTTGTTGTCACATAAAATTGGATAGTGTAAACAAAGCTTAATATTATAATAATTTGATAAGAAATTAAATAGTAACTAAAAATAGCAAATGCAAATGAAGTAAGCTTAATGTATGTAATTCCTGTTGCTATTTACGTTTGTATAACTATTATAATCCATGCCTTCAATAGGTTATATCATAATTTATCGATAATTATAATAATAATAACAATAATAATAATAATAATAGGGCCAAATAATGATAATACAAATTTCATTTATTAATACAAATTTAAGAACTATAAAGAAATGAAATAACTTTGTTTATTCTGTATGGATAGCATTATCAAATAAGTTTCAATGGATAATAACATTTATTTTTGTTTTATAAAAAAAATTAACGAAAAATCTTAGCTTTGTGAGTTTTTACTTTAAGTAATTAATTGTTTATATTATTTAGATAATTTGCTACCTACATTTGTATAAATATTTTCTATTCACATTGAAATAACATTTTCCATGTTATCATTATTTTTATGCTAAAGTTTTGTTAATAACTAGAAAGACTGGGTAAAAAGAAGAAATCATGTAAATACTGTTGTTACTTGTGCACTTGGTTTAATAAAGACTTAATAAAACAGATGATATAAATCTTGATGTATTTCTTGTTTTTAATCAAACAGACATGTCCTAACCACCACACGGTGCTCCATGCCAATTAATTGCTTTTGGGTATTAATTAATACCTTAGTGTAGGGCCTTATGTCATTGTGTTCGCAATTCATGTTAATTTTTATTTCAACAATGTTTTTCTGACTCAGAATTTTATACTGAACAAAAAATAAACTTTTATACTGAACATAAATTAACGTGAATTGCGAACTACCCCAACGGAAACAAACCACCGATTTTCAAATACTAGTACAAAAATTATCTATCTTTATATATGTATAAATAATATGTATTAATATATATATTATTTCATATTTCAGTTATCCTGACGAAAAGCATGACTGACAATAAACCTCAACAAGTGCGAGTGATGTTGTGGACTATTCCAAGAGCACTTTCCACGGCATTTACAAAATGTATGAGCCACTTGGACAACGTAAAAATCATCTTCGAACCATACCGTTGCGCCGTGAAGTATGGACCGGAACGTACGTTCGTATTGCAAAAAGAAGCGCAAGAGTCATTTGAAAAAGTCATGGATTCTGCAGCGCAGATCAACCTAGATATGGGACTTGACCACAACTTGTTTACTTTCAAATGGGTTAAGGAAACATTACTGGAGGGCGATTATCCAGGTAAAGACGTTGTGTTCTGTAAAGACATGTCTCAACCAGTAGCAGCCAACTATGACCTCATTCCAAGTGGATTTCGCCACACCTTTTTAATACGTCATCCACTAAAGCTATATAAATCATGGTATAAACTTTTTTCTAGAGTTGTGCCAGAAGATTCTCAGCGTATAGACGAGGTTTTAGAGATGGCCGGATCCAAAGACTACGCGTACGGAGACCACTTTCAACTATACGAGCATTTGATATCAAATGGAATTGAACGAGAGCCGATTATAATCGATTCAGACGATCTGCAGTCTGATCCAGAAGGGATCCTTCGAAAGTTTTGCCAAACACTGGGCATCAAGTACACTGACAAGCTACTCTCTTGGGAGGTGGGTGATGGTCTTGTTCAGAACTGGGCAACATCTAAGTTACAGCTACAAAGAGGCAAACTGATTGGGGCTTACCAGAATGCTTTCGACAGTACCTGTTTTAAGAAACAAGGGCCATTGCCATTACGTTCTGAGCTAAGTGAATATGCTCTGAAGTGCGTTGATGTAACCATGCCAATATATCAGAAAATGTACGAGAAGCGTCTACGTCCTTAAACGCTATGAAGATTGATTTATCTTATGCCATACATTCTTTTTAAGTAAAAGTTATTGCATATACCGTTTTGTAAATTAAGTTTCATCAATTTAATTCAAATTATTATTAATATTTATTAATAAGTAATTAAATAAGCATAC